TAAGCCTATGTGTGGCCTTCCAACCAATGGAAAGATTCGTTACCCACTATGTACACGTGCATTGCGCGTACCAAAGCCTCCTATTGGTTCATGTTCATATTTGGTCCAGATATGTTGCATATGCACGTACGTGGGTGCGCAGACGATATGCATGGCAGTGCAAAGTGAAATTTACGAAGAAATTTTACGGTTTCTTCATGATCTTCATATCTTCACGATCGATCCCTCGACCCAGATGCTATTTTATTTGGGTTCTTATAGGGAATACATGCCGGTCGGAAAAGTTGATTTGGCAGATTGTGGCGGTCGGCAATTCTGCATGCTGGTCGGGCCCGACCGGCGCCGACTGGCAGCGGTACATGTACATGAAATTGCATGCATATACATGTACGGATGTGTGGCTTAGGGTGGAGCAGGAGTGAGAGTCCATGCCACAGTAGTGGGTCTAGGACTACATATGTACATGTAGGTCTACATGTAACATGTGTAACGAGCTTACTCCTGCAGTTAAGACTGGCAGACTTCCCCCAGCATTCAAACAAAAGACTGCACTTACGAGAAGTAGCGTTTTATGGCCTGGTGCTCCACTCAATTTGTAGTCGCCTGTCACAAGAACATCTTTGTGTATTTCTTCCTGCAGACATTTCTTAACATTTGGTGACAGCATGAACGATAGGCATCGAACTTGCATTACCGCACAGCTAAATACGGCCGTGAGTGATGCTAGTACATAAGATACATTCGTTTTCATCTTTTTTAAACTCCAAAGATACCTCACTAAATACTCGGGTATTTGAATTTATTTTTGCGATCCACAAAGTGCAGTATCACTGAGTGTGTGAAACTTACAAGTTCCAGATGGTGCGAACACGTTGGACCGCGGCTTAAGTGTACGTGGCATTGTTTGCGAAATGGACCGTCTGGCACCAACCGCATTGACTAGGACACTAGTCAAGATTAGTGTAGATATAGGCCGGCGGTGGGGAACAAGGCACTTGGTTTAATCCAGCCGCGGATTGGGCCCACAGGTTGCGTACGTCAAATACGCGCCCATAGAAAACAGTGCAAAATCGGGCCGAAATAGCGCCGCCTGTTGACTCTCGTCAAGAGGTTGGCCTCCGTTTTTTCACTGGAAATTCCAGATTATGGCCAGAAGATCACTTTTCGTTTCAATTTCATGGGGGTTAGCAGGAGATCACTTTTCGTTTCAATTTCATGGGGGTTAGCCACGTTTTTTTTTTAAATTCGCCTATTAAAGGGTGATATCCCCCCAAATAGCAGTAAAACTCAGCGCTCATTTCTGAATGTAGCCGACCGCCTCTATCCAAAATAGGGTCCCAATATGGGGCTTTTGGGGAAAGAAACACCCCAAACTGGAAACTATCAGTCTTAAGTTCGGGATTTGTAAAAATATTTCTGTGGTGCCTACTGATTATGGCGTGTCTTATTGTAAAAAGCCCGTGGGATCACAAAATATTAATGAGCTCGCGCGCAGAAATACACGAACAACCATTTGGTTTCACCCGCGTTTTGCTCCCCTCTCCACGCGGTTAAAAAAAATAAAATACTTCTGTGCACTACAAGGTGGTCAAAGTCTAATTCATTACTGTAAACCATCACTGCTTTTAATCAAAGAATTTTCAAGTTCTCAATTATAGATATAAACTTTTACAACTGAAACCACTTTTTAAAAGTAATTACAAAGTGTGGCCGTCCAGAAGGCATAATTCCGTCCCAAAAAGTCTAAAGGTAATTATCCATTAAATTTCACGATTTCCACCAGAATACTACAAAGGTGGACAGTTTGCCCCCCCCCCCTTAAAAGAAAATATACACCACATACTTTTGATATTGTCAAATTTTACTTTATATTTCAATTGATCCGTCCTCTAGGCAGGTCAAATTTAGGAGGGGACTTAATCGGCCAAATTAATTATGTCTTAATTAAAAACCCCATTTAGAGAACTCCCTTTCGCTTACACAGCGCAATATTGAACGTGGCTGAAGACACTGAAATACTGCCTCTTTAAAACAAAATGTAGACCACATACTTTCGATATTGTCCAATTTTATATTTCATATTTGAATTGAATCCCCTGTGGAGATCAAAGTTTGGAAGGGATTAAATCGGCCTACTAATCATGTCTTATAACTAAAAGCCTAATTGGGGTAACCCCTTTTCTACGCTTCACAATTGTATTACTAAATGGGCTGAAAATAATGCTCTACATTCCAATTTTTATTTTCTAAACTATTTGTTCTTTTTAAAACATCAAATTTTGATGCATACAAATGAGTCAAAAAAATTATATTCTGGTTTATTATTAACATCAAATATTTGCATAAAATGGTCCTACGGCCAAAACCATTCAAATTTACAAAAATTACACATTTCATTTAAAACACTAACAATAATGTAATGTCTCTCTTGGGGTAGGGAGTCGTTATCATAAAGAATGAGAGTCATTGGACTGACTTATACACACTGTCACAAGTCAGTGATATTTTACGCCAAGTGTTTGATTAATTTAAAGACACTACCTGTATGTTGCCAAGTTGGCCAAATTTCCTTATATGCCAGATTTCCTATCAAGCCAGATCCTGCATTGGCTGGATAGGAACAGCAAGTCTGCCGCAGGGGGACACGGCTACCTACCTGCCTGTTGGTCTGCCAAGTCCAGCCCCGACTCACCTGCATCATCCTCGCTGAGGATCGGCTGAGAGTCATGTAACAGCGGCGCATCGGACAATTGACCAACTCTCCCTTTGAACTGTCCGAATTTGGGCTAGTGGTAACTATTGTGACGAAACAGGGGTAGGCATGAATGCCAGTCTAAGTCATGAATTATTAAGCATTGCGTTGACCAATCAGCGTTGCGTAGAGCACTAGGTCTGGGCGCTTGCGGCGTGCTTTGATAGAGCGCGCACAATCAGTTTGTGGGTTTTGCTGCTGGGTCGCAGAGTGGCAGGATCGTGGAGGCGAGGACGCTTTCTACAGTTCTGTGCTGTGACTGTGCGAGGTATATGTATAGTGTGGACGTTGCACCGGGGGCGCTGCGTGTAGTGACTGTAACTGGTAGTTGTAGTAGCGAACCGTATTGGGTCTAGATTACTTTAGTGATAGAGCTGAGTGTCGTGAACCTAGGCTGGGAGCTAGTGGTCTTTGCTGTTGGATTGCTTGTCGTCTGTAAGCAG